TGGCCCGCGCCCTCGTCCCCGATGTAATTGAAGGCCAGGTTCAGGGACACCAGGGTCCGGTTGCTGCCGTGCAGCGTGGACAGGGCCTGGCCCAGGAGCTGGGCGCCGTGGTCATCGATGTTGTTGTTCCGCAGAGACAGGTGGGAGAGCCTGGACCCGGGGAAGGAGAGGAAATCGGGCCCTGCTGGGCACCCCCGGTCCGGGACTGGAGGCGTGGGCCGGACAGGGACGGGGCCCAGGGAAATGCCGGAGGGTTAGAGGGCGGGGCTAATTCCTGTCCTGCGGGGGGCGGCCTCACGTGCTGTCCATGGCCATGAGCTTGTGGTACGACTGTTTTGGCAGTGGGTTCCCCTCCAGAGACACTTTCCTGCGGAGGAGAAAGATCTGAGAGCTGGGAGGGACTGATGAGGTCGGGTAGGGAGGGGACAGAGAGCAAGGCCGAGGGCTAGAAGCAGCCCCAGGGGGGAAGTCCACAGCACAACTCCCAGGCTAGACCAGCAGAAGAGAGCTCAGCGGGAAGGGGCGCTCCAAAGGCTGGCCGCGGTGAGGCTCTCTGGGACAGACAGCTTCCAGTGACCTAGTCCTGCTCTCCAGGCTCTGTGGGACCCTTTCCCCTGGCGGGCAGCCAGACTTAGGGACTCGCTGCTAATAAACACTGGCAAAAGTGATGGGATGTCACTGTCCAGGTCACCATGGCCTGCGCCTCCAGCTCTAGGGCACTCTCCCCACTGCTTTGCCACAGGACATGCAGCTGCCTGGGGGTAGCCAGGTGTGGTGGCACATGCTTTTAATCCCAGCACTCGGGAGGCTAAGGCAGGAGGATCCCTGAGTTCAACACCAACCTGGGCTACATAGTGAGTTCCAGTTTGGTCTCAACTACATAGTGAGAACCTGTCTCAAAAAACCCAAAAAATCAAAAACAAACAAACAAACAAAAAACCAGCAAACAAGCAAATGCCTGGGAGAGGCCTCTAATCAGTCACACGGTGAAGCTGGGAGGCAGATTCTTCACTCCAGTCTCACTGAAGCCCCAGACAAAGGCCTTACTGCAAACTCCAGGCAGAGAGAGAGCAGCACACAGTGAACCCATGCCCAGGTGACCTCACAGATCTCACAGCCGGTAAGGATTTGCATTTGCTGTTGGAGCCACTACATCTGGGAGCCACTCAGTTACACAGCACCTGATAAATGACTACTGACCCCACTATGGACTAAGGCCTTCTTCAGTAGTACGGGGAAACAGAGATCTTTTTGTGAGTCACAACAAAAATGGAACCAACAGCTAGAATTTTTTTTAAAACAGGGTCTTGCTATGTAGCCCAGGCTGGCCTTGAACTCACAGAGATCCTCCTGCCTTAGTCTCCCGAGTGCTGGGATCACAAGTGTGTGTGACCATGCCCAGATGAAATTTCTCTATTTAAATGTTTTCTCCCATGATTGATCATTTTTTGCACAACCATTCAGGCTGCCTGGTCTTTCACATAAACTCACTGCATCATAAATTATTTTATGCTATCTGACATTCTTACATAATGAGTTCACATAGTTGTTTCTCTGCTAAATTGTTTCTAGTTCCCATGGTGGGATGAAATGTGTACTTCATGGGGCTCTACCCAAGGTACTGGGGACCCAACCAGAGAAGCCAGTCCCTGCCCAAGGAGCATGCAGCCTGTCCTGGAGACGGGGACAGGCGAGCCCCGGCACGCAGCAGCATTTGGGACATTCTGTGGAGCAAGAGAAGTCAAGGTGTGCAGTCTGGGAGCCGAGACAGTGCTGTTCTTCCTACACCAGACCATACCTGTAGCTAGGCCACCTCTCACCAGGCACCAGGCTCCTGCCCGTTTCCAGTGCCGTCCTCTGTGGGAAAGCCCAGCACAGCCCCTCCACACAGCCTGTGGGCCTTCCTGCCCCTTCCATAAGGTGGATGGCACCTTCAGCACCAGCCCACTGCCCTGCAAGTCCACTCCTGGCTCCTCCTCTCTGCTCCCTGGCTGTGAGTTCCGGTGAGAGAACAGTCTTGCTGGCCTCACGGCCAGGCCGGGGAGCAAGGGAGGTGGCCTCCGGGGAGGGTGGGGGTAGTGGGGCTGGTGGGCCGGAGGGGAGAGGCCCCGCCAGGCTCTTCGGTGCTTCAGGGGAGAGCTTCATGACCCAACAGACACGACTGAACCCTGTGCCCACCAGGATACCAGCCAGGAGCTGGGCTCTTCACTCCATACCAATGACTCCCACGATGCCCACCCACCTGGCTGCTGTCCCCTGCTGACCTGAGTGTGGGAGAGCAGAGAGGCAGGAGGGCAATGAAGGTGCTCAGGGTTTCATCCGTCAGCCCCACGTTCCACAGGCTACAGTCAGCATGAAGGACAGCAAGGGTGAGAGATCACCTGCTATGATGCCGCCTGCCAGTCATCCACCCCAAACTGTAGCCCTGCTGTGCGTGTGCGTGCGTGCGTGTGTGTGTGTGTGTGTGTGTGTGTGCTGGGGATTGAATCCAGGGCCTTTGCATCCAGCCCTTTTTAAATTTTGTATTCTGAAAAAAATAAATAAATAGATTTTGTAGTCTGAGACAGTCTTGTTAAGTTAGCCAGGCTGGCCTGGAACTTTCCATCCTCCTTCCTCAACTGAAAAAAAAATAAATGGATTTTGTAGTCTGAGACAGTCTTGTTAAGTTAGCCAGGCTGGCCTGGAACTTTCCATCCTCCTTCCTCAGCCTCCCAGAGTGTTGGGATTCGGGATCTTCTGTGCCCGTTTTTTGTCTCTATCCTGAGCCATCCGGAGCACAGCCCACACGCTGGCCTCCTCCCTCACCCAGGGTCCTCACTTGATAGCCCGAAGCTGGCTGAGGGAGGGCAGGCAACTGGAGAAGATTCCCAGGATCCGGTCCTCCACCTTCCAGCCTGCAGAGGGAGAGGAGGGGCCTCTAGCCGGGGGCGGGGCCTCGGGTCTGTGGGCGGGGCTCGGGGCAGGCTCACCGCGGATGTAGATCTCCTTCACTGCCTTGCCGTCCTCCTGCTCCAGCTCCACCTGGATGGTGGGCCGGAAGAACACGTACTTGCTCTCCAGGCTGTTGAGGCTGCAGGACCCCGACAGCCGCTGCTCGTCTGGGAGTGGACCGGGTGAGGAGGAGAGAGGTTGTCGCGCAGCCCCCATTCCCTGCCAGGCCGCCCGCCTCCGCTTGTCCCGCCAGGACCACTCACCTGGGGTGGGCTTTAATGATGTGGAGGCCGAGGAGTCGGAGATCGAGTGTGGGCGCGGTGGGCGCGGCCGGGTGACGACCTTGGGGAAGTCGGTGTAGCCGGAGCGCGCGCAGAGCTCGGCGAAGTCGGCCTCGAGCACCCCGGTGCACTGGTACTCCTCTGCGGCAGAGGGCGCTGTCAGGCACTGTTCTCGAGCAGCACCGCAGCGCAGAATACTCAAGCATCGGATGGATCGCACGCACATGCAGGAAAACCACTCTGGTCATTCGTGTTCTGTGCACGGGCGGAGCGGCGGCCAGGACTGGGCGGCTTCATGGCCAGGCTGCTCAGAGGTCCCTTCCGAGCGTGTATGCCAGGCAGCCTCGGAGAAAGGCCGGCTCCCTGGAAACGTCGCCGGAACCTAACGTTGTGCTGTGCACAGCATGGGATCGAGGGCGTGCCCTTACACACCTGCCCGGGCGGATAGGGACCGGACACGCGGCCCTCTGGTACACAGGTGCAGAGCGCTCTGAAGTAGATCAGCAGCCAGAGCTTTTGTGCTAGGAAAGCGGCTCTGTAGATTTCTTCGAGAAAAAGTCACCACTGACAGCACAGCGGACACAAGATGGGCCTCATAACTTGCTTACCTGTGTGATATTCAACCTGCTCGCCGATCTACCTACCACTTCAGGAGAGAACTACAGGCATAGTCAAGCCACCAGATAAAGCCAAACTGGAATTATGAGGGTGAGAGTACACTGTTTGTTTGAGGCAGGGTCTCACTAGGCAGTTCAGGCTCGCCTTGAACTCACTGTGTAATCCAGGTTGACCTCAGACTCATGATGATCCTCCTGCCTCAGCTTCCCAAGTGCTAGATCACAGGTGTGGGCTACCATGCCTGGTTTAAACACTGGGATTTTTCTACAGGCTTCAAACATTAACAGAGATTTTGAAAGAGACGGAGCCAGGGCCTTCTTTCTTCCAGCTGGTGCATGATCCCCTATCTGAGCTTTCAAAAGTTGGAGCATTACTTCTCAGCCACAAAGGACCCCGAACTAGGAAGGAGTGGCTCTGGGACCAATTTGTGAATTAGGGAACCAACTTTGTCCATGTGGGAACAAGATCAATTTCAAATCTCCACACATTCTGGATTAAAGTCTGAGATTTCCACAAAAGCACTGACAAGCCTGCTTCCATTTCTAACATCGTATCTTTGTGAAACAGCGTTTTCTGTAGTGACAGCAACAAAAATGAGATTACGGAGTAAACTGGACACGAGCAATACACTTGGGGTGTCATACTTGGGACTAATTGCAGGAAAACAAGCTCAGGGCTCCCCCTGATTCTGCATTATGGTAAGTTGTGTAATCATTTCATGTAATGCTAGGCAGGAGGATCACCGTGAGTTTGAGGCCAGGCTGAGCTACATGACGAGTTCAAAGCCATCCTGGAATACATAGCAAGACCCTGTCTCAAAAAATTTTTTAATGATTTCCTGTAATGTAATAATAGAAATAAAGTGCACAGTAAATGTTATGTGCTTGAATCATCCTGAAACCATCCACACCACCCCATCCATGGAAAAATTGTCTTCTATAAAATGGTCCCTGGTGCCAATAGTGCTCCAGGAAATTCTATTAACTGATCTTTCCTTCTGTGAAATAATCATTCTCTAGCGCTAATTCCCCACCCACCCACAGCCGCTAGCACCTCCAGTCCAGAGACAACCCACCGACCCTCTCCGATGGCAGAGCGGTCAAGTTTGGATCAAGAAGCCACCCCCGCAGTTACAAAAAAACAACCCGGCCAATGAACTCTCCTTTGTGCTTGTTAGTTCGGGTTGAGGTTCTAAAGCTAGCAACAAAAAGCCACGCCCCTATCTATTGTGGGACCTAAATTACAAGCCCTTGCTAAATGGCAAAGGGCCTAGGAGACAGTGTCCTGAACCCCTCCCATTGTAACCACAGCCCCGACCTTTGTTCCAGCCCTGGCCTAAGAATGTGTATCACTCTTGTATTGTTTGAAGTCTGGATCTGAATCTACCTGTAAATTAGAGACTCCAGACATAGAGCCCCAAGTTAATTGACAAACTGTTTGCTCATCCGGAGTGTCTTGGTGACCTGTGAGACATCCTATGGGTGGTACCTGTCAATGGGTGGTATGTCACTCATCAATATGTGACTGTTGAGCATGTGACTGCTGACCAAGTCAGCAGACCTTTGTCCCCTGTCTGTGAGCCCAAAAATGTTAACCCCCTCTTTTACTCCCTATAAGAGGACCTCAGCCCCTGAGCTAGGCGCCTCTCTGAGCCAGCCACTTGGTTCTGAGAGTGCCGTCTGGCCAGACTAATAAAGGTCTCTTTACCATCTAGCCTGGTGTGTTCCTTCCTGGGTTTCTCGTTCCTCGATAGCGCTCACGGAGCCTCATTGGGCTTTCGGGCCCAACATTGCAAAGGCCTTTTGGGCTGTTTGCGCTCCGTGGAGTGGAAGTGAGACTTTTAAGTCTTACACTATAAGACTCAAACATTGGTTTCCTAGAGAAGGTAAATTCAAGGAGAGCAGGACTGTTCCGTGAGTTGTACCTGGCCTCAGAGCAGACGTTCAAAACAATAATGCTGAATGAATAGCTACGTAACTGCTCAGACCCGGCCTCCAGCACGTCCTGGGTCTTCCCCTCTTCCTCTCACATCTCACATCGCGCTGCACTTGCTAGCGCCCCAAACACAGCTTGGCTTCTTTCATTCAACTGCCAAGTTGGCCTGGGCCTCGGAGCCCAGCCCGGTGAGTTGCGGGGGAGGCGGTGGCGCCCGGGCCTGCTTCCCCACCCCGCCGCCCGCCCTCGTACCGGGGTTTCTGGG